CCGTGCCCACCGTCTCTGCGTGTTGTCGCATACACCCGGAGGCCGGTGACTCCCTCCTTCCCTTCAAGGTCTGTGGTTAACTCGTTTCCTCACCCTTGGCCCCTCCAGGAAGCCCCTTGACCCCCTGGAGTCCAGCCAGCACCTATCTGCCAGGTGCCCGTCCCCCATCACACCTCCTCCTGGATTCCATCCCAGCTCCCTAAAGGGGTGGGGTTCAAACCTCAGACCTGCAAGGAGACAGGGCTGGGCTCCATCGTAACCCTGGACAAATTATTAATCTCTCTGAGTCTCACCTTTCTTCCATGTAACTTGGCGGGAGCAGTGGCAGTTCCCTTTATAGTGGCGGTGGGGATGAGATGTACAAGGATGCTCAGTGTCTGCCACGAGCCAAGGTCCACTGATTAGAGACTCTGGTCTTTAGACAATCCGTGATACATTTGGATATCCATCCTGCCTGTGCGAGTTGTCCTTTTCTTTGGTGTGTTTTCCGCAGAGGTCCATACTTGATGCTCCTGGAGGAACCAGCCAAGTCACTGAGTGCCCGGCATCCATCGTTTCCGGGGAGATGGGTGGGGGCAGGGAAGAGCCTAGAGTGAACTCCCCCCCCACCCCCAGTGATTAGCGCTGTGATCTGGGGCATGCACCTTCATATCTTGGCCTCTGTTGCCCTGTTCTTCCAGTTCTTTCACATGCTCCCCTCTGGCATTCTAGATATGAGGACCGGCTTACCAAGTACTAAAGCAGTGTGCTTCAGCCTGAGGGCTGCCCCCATTCCAGCATGCGGAGGTTGGTTGTTTTTATTAGGTTGAATATTTATGCTGTGCCAAGCACTTCACCTATATTCTCTCATTTAATCCTCAAAATAGCTCTCCAAGGGTAATTACCTCCCTTTTACAAATGAAAAAATTCAGACTCAGAGACATTAAGAAACTCACCTAAAATCATGTAGTGTATAAGTTAGTTTGGACTGCATCATAATACCCAACAACTTATTTAAAACAGCAAATACTTATTTCTCACCATTTTGTAAGTTGGCTGGGCTGGCTCAGTGGGGCCTGGATGGCCAAGGTGCCTTGTATCTGGCTGGGAGGAATTCAATGTCAGCTGGGTGATGGGGACATGATCAGGAGTCTCTCATTATTCAGCAGGGCTTGTGCAAAAATGGCTGAGTTCCAAAAGTAGCCTGAGGGTAAGCACAGGCCCTTGCCAAATCCAGCTTGCATCATATTTGCTGTTCTTCCATTGGCCGAAGTGGGTCACACTGGCAAGCACAGCAGTATGTGGGGGGACACGAAGGGGTGGGTAGATACAGAGAGGGAGAATTATTGCTGCCATTTTCCCCAAGTTACATACATAACTTGTAAGTGTACCACTGGAATTCTAAAACAAATGTGTCAAATTTGAAAGTTCAAAACTGCCTTGAAGTTATTGCCCAGGATCTGGGAATCCAGAACACTCCATGCATTGCCTAACTAAGTCAACAACATTTTGTGCATATGCCTGCAACTGTTTTGCAAATGTATACACATATTAATAAATAAACATTAACAAACACAAATTATGGTTTTAAATGTTTGTTCTGCTTCATTCCTTGTGTTTTCTTCTTTAGAGACTCCAAGTATATTTGGATCTCCTTTGCTTATCTTTTATCTTTATCACCTTCTCACAAGTCTTTTGTATTATTTTCTTTACTTTTGTTGGATTATCTTCATTATTCTCCTTTCTACCCTTTATTTCCTTGTTCTTTCCATGGTGTCTATACTCTCCTGTATTCCTTTTATTTCTGAAATGACTTTTTTCTTTTACTAATTTTTTCCTGTGTTTGTCAGGGTCATTGTTTAGTAACCATGTCTGGCTTAAATTTGATGCTCAATGAATATTTTTGACTGAAAAATATAATTACTTTTTCTTTACGGCACTACAATGTATTTTCCCTGCAATTAATAATTGTCTTTCTTTTTCAGTTCCATAGTTGTCTGGCCATTTTGTTTCAGAATTCTTGTCTGCTTTATGCGTGTTTCTCAAAGCTTTGTTTTCTTATTCTCTTTCAGCCTTGCTTGAAGTGTTAGGTTAGAGTTTTCATCTGCTTTGTGTCTGCATTTTTCTGGTGTCTTCTTGTCAAAACACTTTATAGTTCATTCTTCTCTTGTAACACTTTGTATGTGGCTAGATCATATTCTCCTCCTCCTTTCCAAAGTTTAAATGAAATGAGTTAACCTGGACTACCGGGAGGACATTTCTGTGGAGAGGGGAATGTCCTAGGGTACCTTTCCCAGCTTCAGGGCTTGAGGGCTCCCTGTTTGTTATCGTGAAGGGCTCAAAGTCTGGCGACTTCTCCGCCTCTCAGAGCTAAGCCTGGTTCAGAAAAGTTTTTATGCTCTATTTTCTACAAGCCTACAGGTCTAGCCTGCTAAGGTGGTATTCTCACTTCGGATGTTGTATTTTGCTGTTACAGTACTTTCTGAGCTCTGCTTTATCTGAGACCCTCCCCTGCTCCCTACTATTTGAATCTTCTCTTTCCCTTACCCCCAGTGTTACTTCCCTGCTCAATTTGGTTTCTCAACCTAGCAGTTTTCTTTTCAGGCAAGGCTTTGTCCTTCTGGAAGGCAATATTTGCTGGATACTTCTGAAATCCTCAGGGTTTAGATGACCATAACACCATTTGATCTCTTGGTGCTTCTGCTGCCAGTTTTGCACCCACCAACTCAGAACCTGTGATGACACCTTCCAGTTTTGCGGTTCTTCTCATAACTATTTGTCCTGTTTGGTACAGGGATAAATGATGATTTGGGACAGGGTGGTGGAAATGAAGATGGACAGAATTGGACAGTAGGAGAGAGAAGGTTGTATTTGGCAATACAACCAGGAGAAATTACTGATGGGTCTGATGTAGGAGAGGAAGGGTCAAGTGTGATGTTAGTGGATTTTGGCTTGGACAACTGAGTTGGTGCCATTATTCACAGAGTTGGGAAAGAATGACTAGCGATTAGGGAAGCAAGTGCTCTTTTGGGGTTCTAAATGGAAAGATCATCAAAGGGAGTTGGATATAAATCTAGAACTCAGGGGAAAGATCTGGTCTCAAGATAGAAATATACAAGTCATCAACTGTTTTAGTCAGTTTGGGCTGCAATAACAAACTACCATAGACTGAATGGCTGAGCTAGCTTTCTGGCTTCTTCTTATAAGGGCACTAATTCTATTCATGAGGGTTCTACCCTCATGACCTAATTATCTCCCAAAGGTCCCAACTCCTAACACCACCACATTGGGGATTAGATTTCAACATATGAATTGAGGGAGGGGAACACACATTCAGTCCACGACATCAACATACAGGTAAATCTAAAGACATGGATCTGAATGAGCTCACTTAGGATGTGCAATTAGAAAGAGTGGTGGTCTAGCACTGGTCCCTGATGCAATATACATGATGCATTTAGAGGTGGGTGGAAGAGGGACCAGTAGAGGAGATCATGAGGAGGAGGAGCTTTGGAGGTAGGGAAAATCAGAATACTGGAAGCCGAGAGAGGAGCATTTCAAGGAAGAGGGACTGACCAACCAGATGGAAGCTGCTGAGAGGCTGAACTGAATACAAATAAAAAACCTCCATTGGATTTGACACCATGGAGGTCATTGGAAATCCCGACAGGAGCAGCCTCAGAGGAATGGTAGGGACAGAACCTGGATTAGAATAGGTGGAGGAGAGCATAAGAGGCGAGAAAGTATAGACAAATTTAGATGTGAAAGAGAAAGGAGATAGCTGAAAGAGGATGCAGGGGGTCAAGAGAGTTTTTGTTTGTTATTTTGTTTTTTGAAGCGGGGAAACAGAAGCATGTTTACATACTAATAGAATAATCCAGTAAAGGAGGAGAGGTTTGTGGTGCAGGAGAGAGATGAAGTCCTTGAGAAGGTAAAAGGGTCTAGGATCCAGTGCATGAGGGGAGGGATTTGTCTTTAATAAGAGCAGGGACACCTTTATTGTAACAGGAGGGAAGACAGAGAACAGAGTACATGAGGGAAGTTTATAGATCTGGTGGAAGGACAATGAGTAAGTTCCCCTCTGAAGGCTTCTACCTTCTCACTGGAAGGTGAGGTGAGGTCACTGGCTGAGAGAAAGGGGGCCTACATGGGAGGCATTAGGAAGGGGAAGGTTTGGGGAGAAAAGAGAGAATATAAGACAGACATCTCTGAGATTGGGAAATTTACTAGGGAAACGCGATGGATTGGAGGTTTATGGTCATTAGTTTAAAATAAAATGAGTCACCTACCCTCTCTTCCTTCCTCCTCCCCTTCTTTCCTTTCTTCTTTGCTATTTGGGGCCCAGTGAGGTAGGAGGCTAGGCAGGTAATGACCAGAGAGGGGTCAGGACTGAGTAAGGCAGCAGCCCAGCAAGCACAGAGAGACTAGTTACATGCAAGAGGATTGAAGGAGGGGCATAAAAAAATATATATAAATATAAATGATAAAATATATATATGATAAAAATAATTTTATCAAAATAATTTTAAAGTTAATATTACAATAGACATGTAAGCACATTGTAGAATGCAGAGAGAATTTTCATATCACAGAATCTTGTTGTTATCCAAAGCATTTGAGACGCCAGTCCTTCTAGTCATATTTGATAATGAGGAAAATGAAGTTCAGTGACTTCCCCAAAGTCACATAACAACTTGATGGCATAACTGAGACTAGAATCCTGGGATTCAGAATCTCAGCATCATTCTTTCTACAAGAAAATAGTGATGCTCAAATACTTGATATGCTTGTCATAAAAAAGGGGATTATAAGAACAAAAAGATCAGTTAGGAAAGAATAATCTAACGGAATTTTATTTCTTATAAATTCTGCTCTTCAATTTCAAGCATTTGGAAAAATTGTGGTCACTCATAGATTTCTATCCTAAAAACTGGGTTTAAATATGAATATGCAAGGTATAGTAGATATGGAATTTTTACAATTGTAAGGTGTGACTTACCCAAAAGATCTTGTCTCTTAAGTACAAACTGCTCAATTATTGCTCTTCCAAAAGAAAATTATAATTGAATGGGAACAGATCATTGACACAGAACAACAAAATGCAGAAATTAGAACAATTTATTATAAACATTTGCAGAATATAAACTGATTTTGTATAAAGATTCTTTGAAACTTTTAAAACTATAGGTAACCTATAGTTTTAAAATAAAATAATTATTATTAATCATTATTATTATAATGTATTTCATTTTCCACTTTCCAATCTAGAAAATACACTAAGTTAGATCTAACAAAGGAAAAAAAAAATCAATCTAAATTGCCTCATAGAGAAAACTAATGAATATGAAAATACCCCACACAAAACTATAACAAACCCAAACAAGAAATAGATTCTGCAAAGCCCATTAATCCTCCAATTTAAAATAAATGACCTCCTGAGAAAAAAATACTTCCACCAGCATAGCAATTTGATGAATAAAAGCAGAGCTACTCTCATGAAGAGAAATTACATTATATATAAGAAAAATGTAATAATGCTTTTAGAAAATGAGGAAAAGTAGGGGCCGGCCCAGAGGCGTAGTAGCTAGGTGCGCGCACTCCGCTGCAGCAGCCCTGGGTTCGCAGGCTTGGATCCCAGCACTCACCGATGCACTGCTTGTCAAGCTATGCTGTGGCGGCGTCCCATATAAAGTAGAGGAAGATGGGCACAGATGTTAGCCCAAGGCCCATCTTCCTCAGCAAAAAGAGGAAGATTGGCAACAGATGTTAGCTCAGAGCTAATGTTTCTCACACAAAAAAAAAAAAAAAAAAAAAAGAGGAAAAGTAATTTCTATGTTGGAGAGTAAACATACTAAATACTTCCTGTTCACTTGGCCTTTGTTAGAAGTTAAAATACCTGTTCACATGCGAAAAGTGATATGAACATGAACATCATAAAACCAAGGTCCTCAACTATTTTTTCAATTTAACCTCAGGAGAACCAACTCAAGAGATTCAAAATCCAAGGATAGACTGGTCCCAAAGCATTTCCTCCTCTGTTCTTTCTTTGCCTTCTTCCTTTTTCTCTTTTCTATGCTTACGTTCCTCTTTCTTAGAGGCTACATCTTGACTTTTTTTCTCCTTTCGATTCTTAAGCTTTTGTGTACTGACCCTGACTGTTTCTACCTCTTTTTTGTTTCTTTGGATGCTCTTGTGTTTGTCTGAATCTATTTCCTCACAACTTTTCTCCCTCTTATGCTTGGGCCGCTCCTCCTTTGGTTTTTCTCTGTCTTCCTCTGGGTGCCTTTTTCTCTTCTGATGTATCTGTTTATGACTGGCTTGATGGGCATTGGAACTGTTTTCTGAGGAGAGGTGTTTGTAACCAGACTCTACCTTGTATGAGCTACAATTATTATACTCTTGCTGACTAAGGTTCAGGGGTACTGGTTTTTCTGAGAAACAGTCCCTGGTGAATTGACAGTAGGTCAGGGAGTCTAGTCTCCACCTGCTGTCATGAGCTGGCAGCCACTGAGCTAACCGGTTTTCCACTGTTTGTGAAATAGTGCATGATCTTGGGTAGGTCTGGACAGTTTCAGATGGGAGTCTTTGATCAAACATTCTATACCTGGGTCTGGAATCAACCTCTTCTTTGTACCCACATGTTTCCAAATAGTCTTCTCTTATCTTTCTGAAACAAGTCTTTGGCTCTAAGCCTCTGGCTTTCTGCACTTTGATATAATCTTCAAGTTCATCTTGAAAAGAGTCATATGTCTTCTTTGAATGCTTCATCAGGTTAACAACAAGGGATTCTCTGTAGAGAAGATGGGAGAAAACTCTTCTTACTAGATTATTTTATTCTGAATATTTCCTTTGCTCTTGAAGAGAGCTTCGAAAAAGAAAACAAAGAAGCCCAAACAAATTAAAACATAATTCAGCATCAAAGTTAAATATCAAGACACTATATGCCAAAAAAGAGCATGAGGATAGTCAAATATCTCCCAGGCCACTCACAAGTAATTTTATCTTTCTCAGAAGTGGGATGAAGAGGGAAGAAAGGGCTGACATACAGGATTCTGTTGTAGGGCTAAAAATGTAAGGAATGTAGGGATGTGTGGTACACATCCATGGTGGGTGGCCTGAGCTAAATGTTCAGGTATTTTCTAAAGCTCTGATTAATCAGTTTCTTGTATATTGTTTTCTAAGAGAAGTAACAGAACCATACAGAAGTAATTTCATCTTTAAAATCTTCAGTTTACTCAAATAATATAAAATAAACATACATACTCACCTGACTAGAATACTGTAAGACTTAATAATAAAAGGATGTTTATAAAGTGGTTTGGGAACGCTGGAAATTAGAAAGTCAGCTACAAGATAAAACTACTCTTAGGTATAGGGCATGAGGGAAGATGAGGGAACAGAGATCCATATCTTCTGTACAGGGCTTAGATTTCATTCTGCTGCTTCTGATTGGTGAAAAAAGCATTCTAGAATGCCTTCTGGTTTGTGCTTTCTCTATTAAAGTTCTGGAAGGAGGGTCAAGGGAGAAAATGGAGGTAAAAGCTGAGAGGGGGTAGGATTGATACAGAGAAAAGTTTCAGAAGGAATGTAAAGTAGAGATACAGTTTTTGTTGGCTTGTTTGATTCTTTTTTGGGGGGCCAGCACTATTTCTGATTCTCTTTCTTTCCCCTACCTCATCTCTTGCATTAGTACCAACTTAGCAGAAAATGTACTTACTATGAGATGATAATGCCCTAGATATTTTTGGTGATATATTTTATCTCCAAAAATTAGGAGGTAGCATAACCCATGTAGAAATGAACATTTCTTCCATTTAACAGAAACAAATAAGCCTGACATAGCATTTTATTTATTTATTTATTTATTTTTGGTGAGGAAGATTGGCCTTGAGCAACATCTGTGCCCATCTTCCTCCACTTTGCACGTGGGACACCACCACAGCATGGTTTAACGAGCAGTGCATCAGTCCATGCCCGGGATTCGAACCCGTGAACCCCAGGCCACTGAAGCGGAGCGTGCAAACCCAACCACTATGCCACTGGGCCGGCCCTGATATAGCATTCTAGAGTCACTAATGATCAGCTATCTTTTCTGGAAATTTGAGATTAAAAATAAAGTCTAAATGAAGCCTAATTTGGTGAGTCAGAAAATGTAGCTGCTATTTAACTTAAATATTATAAAAATTCTGACTAGAATAATGTAACCAATATATGATTAAACATGGGCAAAAGATTTAAATAGACACTTCAGAAAAGAATATATACAAATGGCCAATAAACACATGAAAAGATATCATTAGTCATCAAGTCAACACCAATTAAAATCACAATGAGATACCACCATGCACTCACTAGAATGACTGAAATTAAAATGACTGACAACACCAGTGTTGGTGAGGATGAGGAACAACTGGAATTTTCACACATTGCTGGTAGGAATATAAAATGGTATAATCACTTGGAAAACAGTTTGGCAGTTTCAGAGGAGGTTCAACATACACCTACCATATGATCCAGTTATTCCACTCCTAGATATTTATCCAAGAGAAAAGGAAATATATGTCCATACAAAGCCTTATACATGAATGTTCATAGCAGTTTTATTTGTAAAAGCCCCAGAAAGGAAAAAACCCAAATGTTGAACAACAGGTGAATGGATAAACCAAATAGTCATGAGTCACAATGACAGGGATATGTTCTGAGAAATAAGTCATTAGGCTATTTGGTTGTCATGTGAACATCACAGAGTGTACTTAACGTAAACCTAGGTGGTATAGCCTGCTACACACCTAGGCTGTATGGTACTAATCTTATAGGACCACTGTCGTTTATAGGGTCTGTTGTTGATTGAAACGTCGTTATGTGGTGCATGACTGTAGTGGTATATCCATACAATGGAATACTATCAGTGGTAAAAAGAAATGAACTACTGATACACTCAACAACATGGATGAATCTCAAAATAATTATGCTGAGTGAAAGAAGCCTGACAAAAGAGTACGTAATATATGATTCTATTTACATAATACTCTAGAAAATGCAAACTAATCTATAGTAACAGTGGTTGCTTGGGGATGAAGCAGGAAGAGGTGGGAAGGAGCAACTATAAAGGGCACTTTTTGGGTTTGGATATGTTTATCTTGATTATGGTGATCATTTTATGGGTATATACATCTGTCAAAACCCACCAAATTGAATACTTTAAATAAAAAGTCACTAAAAGATTAAAAAGACGTTGATAATTGTTGAAACTGGATGATGGGTACATGAAGGTTCATTATACTATTTTCTCTACTTTTATATTTGAAAAATTTTAATAAAAAGATTTTAGACAAAATATATTATAGCCACTAGGATGGCTCTAATAAAAAAGACAGATGATATTAAGTATTAGCAAAGATGTGGAAAAATTCGAAACTTCATTCATTGCTGGTAGGAATGTAAAATGATGCAGCTACTTCGGAAAACAGTTTGGCAGTTCCTCAAAATGTTAAACATAGAGTTACTCTATGATCTGGCAATTTCACTCCTAGGTATATACCCAAGAGAACTGAAAACCTATGTCCACACAAAAACTTGTACATGAATGTTCATAGTAGCATTATTTAGAACAGCTAAAAAGTAGAAACAACTCAATGACCATCAACTGATGAATGGCTAAATAAAATGTGGTATATTCACACAATGGAATATTATTCAGCAATAATAAGGAATTAAGTACTGATACATAGTACAACGTGGATGAACCTTGAACACATGCTAACTGATGAAAGAGGCCAGTCCCAAAAGACCACAGATGGTGCAGAGATCAATAAAGAGGTGAATGGAACCTTACCCTTATCAGGCTGAGAACTTGGTGGAGAAATCTTATCATATTCATCCATTAATCGGTTCAGTTTTCTAACATGAACTTTCCCCACATAGTGAGAATGTGCAATAACTGAGGAGCTAAAAAAATGAAGCAGAGATTACAAAATCTATTTTTGTCCAATACTCCACTCCCAGTCACCTGCAACCAAGCACAATCTTGTTATAAAGATTAAATAATTCAAAATTTAGAATTACATCATCAGCATAGATCAATCATCTGAAAATTAACAAAATCCATCTCAATTTCTTATCATTTTGCTTTCTGTAAATCTCAAGTAAAGCTAACTTTTTGAGCACGTATTTTACCCTGGAAAAATAAATAATATTTTGTCTATTTTAGAAAAAGTGACCCCAAATTTACACCTTTAAATTTGAAGGTAGCACTCGTGATTTTTAATATATTTAGTCTGAACTAAGAGTTTAAGAATAGTTTCATTTGCTTTCAAATCAAAGTATCAGCTTCAGTAGAAATAATCCTATGATTTAGAAGGCTTTTATTTTCAACCTACCTCATAATGTGAAATCCTTCGTGGTTCAAACTACATCACTACTCCACATACGTCTTTTACAAAAGGTATCTGTAAAAGTTCACTCTTTGTTCATTCAATGTGGTATCTATGAATAAAATAGATGGAGGTGAGAAAGAAGATCATATTAAACATTTAAGGTAATATTTTCAATCTTCAACTAGATATCATTTCATATACCATGTCAAATCTTAATTTCCTAAGTGCTTGCAAGGCTTTAGTACTAGCTTTTTGATCATTAGAATGAAATTTTAGTATGAAAACACTTAGTAAGCCTCTAATATTTAATGTGGTAATATATTTTTATTTAGTCCAGAAAATGCCATTCTGAAGGAGAAGTTACTGGGGGACGAGTAGGAGTCTGAACTTTATGGAAATGATCTGGGGTACCAGTATTGAACAAGGCTGGGCTAAGAAATCCAGCCTTGGCATTTTCTGTTTTACAGCAGACAATCTCAAGAAATGCAGTCTACTTTAAGACAGTCACTGATTCTAGCTATACCACTAATGTCCCCTGAGAATCACATGGAGGAACCACAAACCACCTTTACCCGTGGTAGGCAACTATCCTCCTCAGGTGGTACAAACATGACCACAAGCAAGCCTCAGTAAACAAGGCTCAGACAAGCCACTCAAAGCTACAAAATATATATTACTTTGTAATTAAAAACTCCATAAAAATTTAATTTAAAGGTTCTATAGGATATCTTCAAATTAAGCTTAATTTTCAGTACCAGTGTTATGATTAAAAAGGTTTGCTTAAGTGTGTGCGCTCCACTGCTGGCGGCCTGGGGTTCGGATCCCGGGTTCAACCCTTAATACCAGATTTCCCATTTTTAAAAGTCAATGTTTTGAGCTGACACTGAGGCAAGAAACTTGGAGTCACCTTTAACTCCTTCACCCACCAAACTCTTACTTTATTTTTCTTTATCTCTATTAAATAGCATCAAATTCCCAAGCTCAAAATCTCAGCCATTTTTCTCCCTATCAAGTCCTGACTCATGTCAATTCTAGCTTTATAATGTTTTTTCAAAGCTATCCCATCATTTTTCAAGTCCCATAACACCACGTAGTTCAAGTTCTCCATGCCTTTAGGCTTTATTAAACTTTATCACTATTAATTGAGTTTTGTCTTCAGGGTACTATGGTGGGTACTTTGGGGTGAGATAGGGAAAAAAAGAGATGAATATTTACTGACTACTGTATGCCAAACAAGATAATAGATTATTCTTTCAGTCTTTTACCTCTGGTAAAGTAAGTGGAATTTCCCACATTTTGAAGATTAAGACATCAGGATTCAAAGAAATTAAAATAACTTGCCACATGTGTTAACTGATAGAGCTGGATCTTAAACTTATATTTACATAGCTGTTTTACACATTGGGAATTATAAATAAGTGAACAAGACAATTTCTAATATCAAGGAATTTACAATTTTGTAAAAATGATATGCAAAGAACTATAATGCAGGACAAAAACATGTTAAGTGCCTCAGACATAGGACGGTATAATGTCTTCTTGCTGAAGGGGTTTGGGGAACGCTTTGTGGAGAATGGATTTGGACTGATCCTTAGGAGATGAGTAAAATTTACAGAAAAAATGAGTGAAGGAAGGGTATTCTGGAGGAGGGAAGGACATTAGAAAAGGCATATCTGCTTTAGATAAAACAAGATATGCATGAAGGTAGTGAAAGACAGCACTGTAGAGGTGGAATGGGGCCAGTTCATAATAGGCCTTATTTGGCCATTTGGGTTTAATTCTGCAGTCAACAGGGGAAGAAAAGAGACTCAAAATGGGGATATGGGTTAGGAGAGTGTTGCATGAAAGAGATTATTGGGCTGAACCAGAAGAGTGGCAGTGGGAATGGAAAAGAAGAGAAGAATTTAAGAGACATTCGACAAGTGGAATCAAATGAATTTGTGATAGCTGGGGAGAGAGCAGGTGGAAGAAGAGAAGAGAAGCACAGACAACTCTAAGGCTTTGATCCTGGGTAAAGTTGTTACCTTTGTCAGAGAGGATAACGAAGAGAAAGAGTTACTATTATTATTATTGCTGTTTTTATTATTTCCTGGAAGGAGGGAAGTAGGGAGTGGAATGGAGAAGCATAGTGTTCGAAAAGATGGTGAATTTGATTTTGGAATAAATTCAGCTTCTATCAAAATCATAATATCTTTCACATCTGTCCTTTCCTTTCCTCTAACCCATTCCTCTATGTGTTTAATTCCTCTATGTGAAACTGTGTTTAAATAACTTGCAGATGTTCCATATACCTTGAAATTCCTTACAAATTAAGATTACAAATTAACATAGTTGGGCACTTGAACTAATTGTATATGTACCAAACTTCCATGAACATGGTGGGCAACGGGAACCATTAGAGAAAAGAAGGGTAGTAAATTCTAGGTGTTGTCGAAATCTTCCCTCAAAAAGTTTTTATGCTACCTCTATTCCATCTGCATAGTGAATACTATTTACTCATTACAAAGCTTGTAGCATTCTACAGTTTGAAGAATGCAGACTTCAATTATTGTGGAGTAGAGTGAAATTATCATTTTCCCTGACCTGGAAACTATTTCCATTCTTACCATTTTATTTAGCTTAGCTTTTTTTTTTTTTCAGTAAGTGTCATATTATAGATTTCTATTGACCTTGTAATTGCTAAAATCCTAGAGGTAGCATCTCTCCTCCTACATTGGCCGTCTTCTCCCATCTGGTACTTAACGTAACTGATTTCTTTTTCTAAATGCAAGACTTTATACTTCATTTTGTTATGGGTTTAGGCCACCATTCCTATGTATGAAGAGCTTTAAAATTCCAATTCTTTTAATCTTGACATTTGCTATGGTTCCTGTAGTTTTTATATGCATTCAGTCTACGTCGTCATCCATGTCACTGGTGAAAACTTTAAGTAGGACAAGAGCAGGATAATACCTATGGCGTGCTACAAAGAATCCACCCTTTTTCTGCATCTAAAATTGATCTGTGGTTCATCAGCAATTCATGATTCCAATCAGAAAGATATTTAGAATTTGATAGAATCTGAGTTTATTCCAAAATTAAATTCAGCATCTTTTCAAACACTCAATGCTTTTCCACTCCACTCTCCACTACCCTCCCTTCTTGTGGGTCTGATTATTCAAATCTATTTGTACTAAACAGAAGTCTTATTTTTCCATTTTGTTGATATTTGAAAGATATTATGACATGTCCTCCAAAATTGTAACCATTCTTCCTACAGCAGTGGTTCTCAATCTCAATCATTTTGACCAAATCATTCTATAGGCAGACAAGTGAACTTGTATTGCCAGGAGGTCTAGAGGTTATATAGCCTAAAGAGACCAATCACAAAAAAACGTATTTCAAGTTTCATGGTTTATTTTAAAAACTGATATAAAAACTTCTTTTATATAAAATGGATGAACTCTAGTTTAAAACATTCCTTTTATATAAAAAAACCTTTAATTAATCTTTAAATAAAATGTGTCATTTAAACATCAAGTACCTCCTAGCACACTGCTGATTATCTCAAAAACCTCAGGGAAATCTGATTATCTTCACTGAAGAAATATGGTCCCACAACATTCCTCTGCTCTACCAGTAGATCTTTCACAAGAGAAAATGAGACATGGCATCACTTGAGCTTTTAATAAATGCACATCACCTTTTAATGTTCCTTTCAAAGTAATACATTCACAAGCAATCTGTTCTGTAACACTTATCCAGCATTGCCCTTACATGTACCAGGTACTGTTTAAGCACTTATAAATACTAATTTTATCCTCCTAAGAACTCTATGGCTTAAGTACTATTATTATCTGTATTTTATAGAAGAGGAAACTGAGGCATAGAAAAGTTAAGAAACATGTCCACATGTCCGTGACTGCAGTTAATAAATGACAGAGGCAGTCTGGCTCCAGAATCTGTATTAACTGTTAACGCTCGGCTGCCTTTCTAACTGATGTAAAACTTCTCCGTCCACCTTCTGGAATCCACTCCTCCTCTTTTTAAAGATAGAAACATTTTCTGATCTCCGGGCTTTACACATCTCTCCATTAAAAAAATTAAAAGCAAGCCACAACATGGGAGAAAATATTCTCATCTCATATATTAGACAAAAGACTTATATTTAGAATATATAAAGAATTCATGACTCAATAAGACAAATATAATGTAAAATGGGAAAAGATTTGAACAGATACTTTAGAAAAGAATATATAGAAACAGCCAAGTAAACGTGAAGTAAAACCACAACGAAATACCACTACACCATCACTAGAATGATTAAAATTAAAAGGACTGAAAATACCAAGTGTTGGTAAGGATGTCAAACAACTGGAACTCCCATGCATTGCTAGTTAGAATTTAAAATGGTACTTTACAAAGCAGTTGGACAATTTCTTTAAATGTTAAACATCTACCATATGACCCAGCCATTTCATTCATATGTATTTGCCCAGGAGAAATGAAAACATATGTCCATGCACATAAATGTGCATAGAGGCTGTACATAAATGTTTATAGCAGCTTTATTTGTAATAGCCCAAAACGGAAACAACCCTAATGTCTGTCAACAGGTGAATGGATAAACAAAATGTGGTATATCCATACAATAGAATTACTCAGCAATATAATTATGAACAAAACAGCAATACACGGATGGATTTCAAAGTCATCATGCTGAGTGAAAGACACAAAAGAGTATACTGTATGATTCTATTTATAAAAAGTTCTAGAAACATAAACTAATCTATAGAGAGCAGATTAGTGGTTGCTGGCAACAGCGGTAGAGAGAGGGAAAGATTATAAAGGTGCATGAGGAAACTTTTTGGGTGGATGCAAATACTTGGCATTTTGTTTCCGATGGTGGTTTCATGGGAGCATACACCTGTTAAAAACTCATTGAACTGTACACTTTAAATATGTGCAGTTTAAGTAAAATATACCCCAATAAAGTGTACTAGAGGAGCTTAAACATCTATAATGGATGTTTTGGAAAAAGAAATAATTCTACCTTATTAAACTGGATTTTTAAATGTTGGCTTTGTCTACAGAAAGATCATCCACCTAACAAAGGCTGAGTCACCTACG